CTGAATAAAGGAACCTTGGCTTGTGGAAGTTTCTTTTGACAAGGAGAACCTCAGGCGGTACCGTTTCCAGTTTGGGAAGATTGTGCCATCTATCTCGAACTTATCTCCTGGAACTCCAAAAGAAGCCTCTACTAGGAACAAAATCACAGCGTGCGTGTCTGCGATTCTTATAGAATTTTATAACCTGAGACAGGCATATAAACGCCATTTCCGAACACACACACACTAACGGAAGGAGCACTTTACAGTTTGCTTCTTAGCAGAAACTGCGCAAGCTCGTATTCTCTGAAGCACTGGTATTACTGGCGCTTCATTATTATTTATCCTGAATTTTTTGGTCGTTCCTTCAACAACCAAATTGATGTGTAACCAGGGTATTACCGTATTGAAGGCGAACAGCTTAGGTTCCTATTTTTGGTGTTTTCCAGCTTCTCTTATTGTCCACATCAATAGCGGAACATAGGGAGTGTAGACACGGGGGATAGCGCGTTATACTTTTTCTCTGTCCTTTGGACAGGATCGTGTCGCTAGATTATTTCAGTGTGCACTTAACAAGAAATTTATTTTGGTGACTGGGAAGTTCGAATAGTATGGCTGATCGAAGTTGTCCCAAAAAGTCTGTTTTATCTCCTTAAAAGCAGTCCATTTATTCGATCTTCATAGTTTTTGTTAAGGCCAATTTTTTTAAATAGGTCGACCGCATCTTCCTTGGTAGAATTCGCAGTCGAACTGCAACAATCGAGCTTGAGAGGTGTGCTTGCCGTACTTGACATTTCACTCATCAGGTTCTTCTTCGATCAGCTTTTCCCTGCAGCTATATGCTCAAGCATTGCCTTCTCTTCAAAAGAACAAAATCTGTTCCGGGCATTTTTGTTGTCTGGAGTGGATACATTCCTGAATAGGAGGGTAGCGGATCCCTATAAGATTGCTGAAAAAGATATTTGTTGAATATCGAATAACGCCGTTACGCGGACAGGGTCCACGCTATCTTATTTATGTCCACATATCGGACTTTTTACTTCATAAAATAGCTGTCATGGTTGATGTCATCGGCGGTAGTCACAGTTCGCACCTGGCTTCGCCGTTTAGATCGATTGATGGCGACAGGCATGGGAATTTTCCTGTCCTGTTTCCCTAAGCTAAGTACGAATTTGCTAATTAGGCACCACAAGATCTCTGTTGACCTTCTGAAATCTATGTTGTCCCCGATGTCACTTTAAAAAAAGGGGGGATATTTTTTTCCTCTCCTCTGCCTTGCCTTTTCTTACCACTCATACCACCTATATCACCCATATCTCGGACTTGCTAATGAGGCCCCAACCAACCGTACCGACTCCTTCATTATTTCCTGCTTTTCAGTTTACTCTTCAATGTGTTATGTTTTATTTTCAGGAAGCTGACAAGATCTTGTATTTTTATCCAACCGGTAAATCAACCGATGAACAGTTAACTTCAGCCGGTCTTTGTGAAGCCCTCGTCTCCTTTTCTCGGTAAGCTTTTGACATTATGACA